GTAGCCTCTTGACTTGAAAGCAGCATTTGACTTTGTAGACCGAGAGGTTCTGTGGCAGTGTCTGTCATTGAAAGGTGTACCTGGGAAGTACATAAATCTTGTGAAGGCTCTTTACTCGAACACTACCAGTCGGGTGAGAGCTTATGGCGAACTGTCATCTGATTTTACAACCTCAAGTGGTGTCCGTGAAGGCTGTCCACTATCCCCATTTTTGTTTAACTTCATTATAGATCTGTTGCTGGAAATAACACTCTCGTCGGATGAATTTTCAGGAATTGATCTTCTGCCAGGAGGTTCACTTATCGACTTAGAATACGCAGATGACATAGCCCTGTTTGATGAAGACGCTGATAAAATGCAGAGTCTTCTGTTGGAACTGAGTAATAATGCCAAGTTGTTTGGGATGTGTTTCTCCCCATCCAAATGTAAATTGTTACTCCAGGACTGGCCTGCGTCAACACCTGAACTAAGGATAGGGAGTGAAGTAGTCGAACGCGTGGACAACTTCACTTATCTTGGAAGTCTGATCAGCCCTAATGGGTTGGTGTCTGACGAAATCTCAGCACGGATTCAAAAAGCTCGTTTGGCTTTTGCCAAGTTATGTCACCTATGGCGAAGACGAGATATTCGTCTATCAATTAAGGGACGAGTATACTGTGCAGTAGTTCGCTCTGTTCTACTTTACGGCTGCGAAACATGGCAATTAAGAGTAGAAGGTACTTGTAAGTTACTAGTATTTGACCACAAATGCCTTAGAAATATTGCTCGCGTCTGTTGGGATCACCGGGTAAGTAATAGTGAGGTTAGACACAGGGTATTAGGGAATGATGGTAAATCAGTTGATGAGGTGGTGAATCTTCATCGACTGAGATGGTTGGGCCACGTGTTACGTATGCCTGAACACCGATTACCACGTCGCGCAATGCTGACTGGTATTGGCAATGGTTGGAAGAGAGTTACGGGCGCCCAAACCAAAACATGGCATTGGTGCTTGAAGTCACAAACTTCTAGTCTGAGCCATGTTGGTAGATGCAGACTACCTGGTTGTGGTCCGCGTGACTGTCGTATCCAATGGTTGGAGACTCCAGGTGACATTGGCTCAGAATCGATCACAATGGCGTAGGTGTATACACTCTTTATCTTTCCTTAAACCTTGAGATTAAAATCGCTTCATAACTTTCTTCCTTCCTGTACTATATCCTTATATACTACCACCACTAAATTAATTCCTTCTACGAATCCGGTGTTCATGTTGTTGTGCTAACGAGGTATGGCAACTTGGACCGATGTATATGTGTGCCTGGTCCTATGTTGTAGCTGACTGACTGAGAAAGCACATATTCAACGTGGCCTCCTACAACGTCTGCACACTAATTCAAACCGGGCAACAGATAGGGTTCACTTTGCCTCTAGAAAGTCTAAACATCGATATCCTTTGTCTATCCGAGACTCTTATTGAAGACTTTCGTGTAGTACAACAAATTTGCTCTCTCTTCGTCTATTCGGAAAGTTCATTTCACATGCGTTTATCTGGGGACCTTGTGACATCTTCGTCTGGTGTTTTTGTCCCACTAAGCTGGAGTTCATCAACGTTGTGAAAGCCTTATATAGTAACACCTCAGGCAGAGTGAGAGCATACAACCACCTCCCCTCATTGTTCCATTAAACCAGTGGGGATAGGCAGGGCTGCCCAATCTAACCGTTCATCTTCCAGCTTGCCATCTATGACGTTCTGATGGATGTAGGTAATTGTGGTGTAGATCTGTCGCTTGGGGAAAGACTTCTCGACCTCCAGTATGCAGATGACATTATTTTACTGTGCGATGATACTCAACTCATGCAACCTTCACTCAGTCAGTTAAAAATCAGTTTTCGTAGGTATCTCATGTGCTTAATATCATCCAAATGGATAGCACTTTAACAAGACCAGCGGGAACCAAAACTGCACTCACCCGGGGTAGTGAGCAGACTGATGTTGTCGGGAAGGTCATGAATGTGGGTAGCTGTGTAACTGCTTGTGGTGGTGTGAGTGATGAGATCAATTGATGTGTAGTGAAGGCCAGATAAGAACATGTCAATCTAGACCCTCTTTGGTGCCTTGATGATGCTATTCTGGCAGTTAAAGATTGGACCTACAACGTGTTGGTGGGAGCGGTTTTGCTCTAAGCTTGTGAAACCTGGCCTCTCCAAGTTGAGGATGTCAGACGACTTTCTGTGTTTGATTATCGTTGTCTCCGGAGGATTGCCGACATCCACTGGTAACTCCATGTTGGTAATGCAGATATTCAGAATTGTGTGTTTTGACATGGAGATAACAACTCAGTTATTATCACTATCAAGAAACACCAACTTCGGTGACTTGTACATGTTTCATAAATTTCATCTCAGCGAATTCCGCGTCGTGCATTATTTACTGAAGCTGTGGCCGGTTGAAAAAGGCGGAGAAGTCGTAAGTGTATGACAAGGTTTTGTGATATGGAAGAAAGCTGTACAGGATTGGCTTCTATTGGTCTTTCTCGACTCCGCGGTCGGGGTTCGAGGGATTGTGCAACACAGTGGCTCGAGAGATTATCAGATATCGTTCATAATAGAAGCCAGTAGCGATCCTGCTGTAACTTTGTTCCAAACTCTTAATAAAAGCGAACATAACTAATTTAACTGAAAGAATTCTTACTGATTGTAGCATTCTCGATTGAAATGCTAATTAACTATTATTCAGAAATTGAACAGTATAGTGAATTATTTGATTCTGTCTTACCCAAAAAATTAATAAAGGCTGAATTTTTGAGTCACATTTATAATTATGTTGTATCTTTCGGAAAGTTTTATTATATCAATACTGTTATTGACTATTTGTGTATGTAACTGAAATGATAACTATCCTTCATATAACTAATTTCTGTGAAAGTATTTGTTTACCATATTTGTTAGTTTATTGTAGGTAGTTTTTCTTTTTTTTTTCTTTACTTGGAATTAAAGTCGTATGCGAAATACTTGTAAAGTACCATATTTCAAACGAAATATAGGTTAAATAATGTAGTATTCATTAACAAACATTAAGATACAACTAACTGACATGCCATTTACTCCAAATCAGTTCTTAGTTAAACAAACGTGAGTAGAAGTGTTGCTTTTTAGGTTTAGCTATTCAGATGACAAGAGATTTTCAAAGTTCTGTGGTTGGGGGTAGATAATATTATGTAGACAGTAGAAGAAGTGGATGATAATATTTGGCTATTACCAACTATGATGTTCGTGCTAAGTTCACTTCAATGATTTACATCAGTTAAAGAAATGTTACAGACTTGAGATATAGCTTGTTGCTTTTAATTTCACAGATTAGTTATATTTGATTTACAATACTTACTACTCATCCATAACATTTTATTGAGAAACAAGTTTTCAGTTAGTTTCTCAGACACTTATTATGTAATTTTGGATGGCTATAAAGAACTATTATGTTTGGAAATTTGTGATTAGAATTTGTTGTAGTACTGAATATGTTTAATGTTGTAGAATTTCCCGAATCTATCCAGTGCATACTTTTGTAGTTACAAATGGAACAACTCTTGAAGAGAGGAAAAATTAGTACAGGCACGTGAATGTATTATTTTAGAGTTATGAGTAAAGTGTGTAACCAATTAAAAAACCATTACCAGTTCATACAAACAGCACACTAATTCATGCGATAACTACAAGTCTAAATTTTAGTATTATGCATAATTAAAAATGGTTATTGATGTTTCATACGAACAACCAGCACAGCATTGTTTGAATGGAAATCTGGATATTTGTGGATCTTTTATAATCCAGTCGAGGGTTCTTTTAATTTATGAAAAACTCTGTATATTGTTTAGCTTTTATGTTATCTGAAATAGATTAAATTATTTAAAAACAAACAACACTAACCAGAACAGTCTTCCCGGTGTTGTAGTAACGTGATTGGCCAATAAAACGGTTGCGTTTAATTGTGTCCATGGTTTCTTCTCATGTATTTAGGCATAAAACACAGCCTCTAAACAATTTCGTATTTGCTTCTTTTCACTAAAATGTTTCGCATTTGTGTCAGGAGCTATCCATTTACTAATCCCTTCATATCTTCGAATTCAGTGGCTAGTGTAGAACTGACTAGATTTTTGAAAGACAGAAAAATCTGTTATGTCCTTTGGCCCTTCAAATATCCCGTGACTAAATCGCCAATATAATACCGACTTATTTGACCTCGGTCCCGTGCCAAACTAATGACGCAATAACAAGTACGAGCAGCCTATAGTCGACTCTGAGTCATTATTGATTCCTCTTCCCTTTCCCTGCCAATTGAATCCAGAACACCATCTCATCTTCCACTGCATGGTTTATACATTTTAGACATAATTGGTTTATATACAAGCAAACGAGACCGCATCACACCATAGAATGAAAAATAGCGTAAAGGAGTGAAATCGGATTGTCTGGAAATGCCAAAGTCTTTATTAGGCTGTATGCTTCTTCACCGATGAATGTAAGGAAATGGGCAACAATAATAAAATCTTCGTCATCTTCCTTGCTCATAGACCAGATTGCGTACATCTCCATGTAATCCACAAAAGCATTAAAATCTGAATGTACATTCAACCATTCCATCACAGGCTCTATCGCTACGCCAATGTGATATTCAGAAGTATTTGATTTATGGTATGAACTAGTAATCCCTGGAATAACGAAATTTAATCAAGAAGTATTAGATGAGCACGAACGAATGTACTGTATTTGAAATTCAAAATCAAAACAGTCATCAATAAAAAGAAATCATTGATTCATATAAACACTATATTTACTTAGCTCTGATACGTAGACTAAGAAAAATATTACTGATAATCAACAATTTAACATAGTGTGTTTAGTACAACAACAATTAAACCAACCCATTAAAATTTAGAATAATGGATGCAATTTGAGCCATGTGAATGGTTGAAATCGACAATTTACATATACTTGTTAGGTAATCCAAAAACAAACCAATGAGAAGTGAGTGCATGACAAAATTTAGAAAGTTTCGGTTTGTAAGGCAGTATTTAATTGAACAAAATCAAACGACAAAAGTTGTAAACCTCGTAAGACAAAATATGCTTCCAAATGTCTTATCGACAGCTCCAAAACCCTTACTATTTTTCATAGCAGTCATACTATCCCTGTACAAAATTGAGTGCAAATCGTCATCATTGAATGTCACAGATCCTGGAACTTGGAAGAGGTTAGCAGATGAGAGATTTAATAAATTTGAACAATCATCATCTCACTTATTACTCAAACGATCAAAAAATGTCATCTTATTTATTGGTGATGGTATGAGCCTGAGCACTGTTACTGGAGCAAGATATTTGAAAGCGGAGAAGATGGATCTTTTAGGTGGTGATGTACAACTAGTATGGGAGAACTGGCCTGTTGCATCACTTGTCCGTACATTCAACTCAGATAGACTGACAACAGATTCAGGTTCTGCGGCGACTGCCTTTATGTCAGGTAAGTAGTAAAGTGAACTAATATTTCTGATGAAACAACTACTTCATGCCTTAGTAAATTTACATTGTCATATTTTAATACACTAATAACCAAGCAACTATACATGTCCTGTGTGATGAAAGTCGGAGCGTTCCGATGATCCTAGAACGATGTGTATATTTGAAGCTAGTGAAACTAAATACACTTGAAAATTTGTTTGCGAGTTACTATTCTGTAGACAGCCTCGTTTACTTAATTGTTTCTGCAATTCTTCTGTACAATGTAGGCGGAATGTGGAGAATAAATAAATGTATAATTAGTCTTACTTGAAAGATTTCATTCTCATCCATATAGGTGTGGTACAGATGGATTTTGATGTTACTGATCAGTATTTAATTATCCCATCTATACTAATGAAGTTCGCACTCCATCAACTACTTCTGTTGATCAGAGTTTCTCATAATTTTATCATCTGGATAAAACCAAATGCAGTGGAGATAAAAACTCGCCTCCTCTTCTTGGTCTACTCTATTACGATAAAAAGCTTTGAACTTGATCGTGAATTCATCAGCTAAATTAGGGCAACTAACCAGTGGATGGAGATACTTCTTTTACAATGTTTCCCACTTGATATTTGTCAATTATGGAAAATATACTAGACTAAAGCTTTCGAAATATTAAATACTCTTAATAATATATTTTAATCGGTCGAAGAATCGAACCAAAGTCCATTTCAAACAAAGAACATGTTTTGCAGTGTACATATTAGGATTTCGGAAGGTCGAGTATCAAATACAGTTTTCATAGTTCACTGATATACATCAAAGAAATGTTGATTTTACTTGAGTTGGAAGTATAATATGCTACGTTGTGAGCTGATCACTATACTGTCAAAGATGAATAAATTTATTGTGACGAGATATATACAAATTCGCTCACTTAGAAATTTAGTTTCCTGTCGTTCCAATTGATGAGTAATTTTTGCTGCATCTTATGCTGATTTTAAATTATTTTAAGGTGTGAAAAGCCCTCATAAAACCGTTGGTATCACGGGAACAGTGAAGTGCTGTAAATGTACTGAATTGAAAGAATTAGAAAGGGCGAAATCTTCTATCATGTATGCCTCCAAAGCAGGATTTTCCACTGGAATAGTTACAACTGCGAGAGTTACTCATGCAACACCCGCAGCAGCGTATGCAAATATGTTACATCGAGATTGGGAGTCGAAAGCGTAAGTTTGGAATATCTTAGACTTTACGTTTATGTTTAGTTTTAATGTGATAAAGTACATAGATTACGTGTGCAGGTTTTTATTGCAATGAACTCCGTTTACAGTTAGTGTTTTGCCTAAGTACTACAAGCCTAGAGGAATTAATGTTAGAACCCGGCTTTTTGCAATACACAGTGAATGAAATGTATAGAATTGGTGAGATTTCGTATTCCTTAAAATGTGATCGTGTAGTACACGGGATCTATATATTTACGTTTGTACCGATAAATGATGTGTTTCATATCCCTCAAAAGGAATTATGTATTTGAAGTGAAATTTCATGTTCTTCCGTAAGCTATAAAGCCTTTATCCCTTAAAGTGCTTTATTGTTACTTTATGTCAGATTACTCTGATCCTAAATAGGATAAACTTCCCAATCATTACTTTCTTATTTGGGCTATCCACAGTCATGAATACATAGGATTGAAACTACCGTTCGCCATTCCAGCCGATAAAATGATAGCACCATTATCATCTCTATATGAAAATGTTTGGTTCAAGACAGTGAACATGAACTTGGGTTTTACAAATGAGTTTATAATAAGTCCGCCTCAAAAATGTCAAGGGAATATACGTAGATTACTTTATCATTCATTTGGTCGGCCACCTCCTCCCACGTGATATCTAAATGAATTAAACACCATTAATTCGTTATTCATCTATATAAATTTACTTGTTTATTTAACTATATACAGAATTTCAAAATGGGTTGTCTTATATATACGTTACAATTGATTCCAGGATATTCAGGATAAGTAAATCACCCAGTGATATTCACAATAAAATATTCGGTGTTCACGAATTGCATTGGCATACAAACACAGCTCGATATGAGCATAAAACAAGTTGTAATGAATCGATTGCCAACTTACTGATGAATATATATAACAGCTTACCCATATTAATTTATCAATTCAACCTACTGTTTGAATAGAAATTACAACCGCTTCTGGTTTATACAAAATGTGAAAACTCATGTAGATCTAGTTTGATTAGTACACCAGGTTACGCAGTAATCAGGAGTGAAAATATGCCTTATCTACACCTTTGAGGTAGCTAACTTCTCATCGTCCAATACTAAAGTTTGATGGTGTGACTCAAAATTAGATCAAATACAATCTGTAGTTTTGGTGTATGCTGCTTATGTCGACAGACATGCACAGTTATTTATAGTAGCCTTTGTAGTAAAATGAGTGTAGTGGTCAACAGAATTTTGACACGAAAAAGTTAATAGCAGTTTGATTCATTTAAAAATTGATACCTTCTGAATACCTGCCATAGAATAGCCATCTTCGAATTTTCATTGTCATCACAAATGACTGGTTTCATCATCATCATCATCATCATCATCATCATCATCATCATCATCATCATCATCATCATCATCATCATCATCATCATCATCATCATCATCATCATCATCATCATCATCATCATCATCATCATCATCATCATCATCATCATCATCATCATCATCATCATCATCATCATCATCATCATCATCATCATCATCATCATCATCATCATCATCATCATCATCAGCATCATCATCATCATCATCATCATCATCATCATCATCATCATCATCATCATCATCATCATCATCATCATCATCATCATCATCATCATCATCATCATCATCATCATCATCATCATCATCATCATCATCATCATCATCATCATCATCATCATCATCATCATCATCATCATCATCATCATCATCATCATCATCATCATCATCATCATCATCATCATCATCATCATCATCATCATCATCATCATCATCATCATCATCATCATCATCATCATCATCATCATCATCATCATCATCATCATCATCATCATCATCATCATCATCATCATCATCATCACATCATCATCATCATCATCATCATCATCATCATCATCATCATCATCATCATCATCATCATCATCATCATCATCATCATCATCATCATCATCATCATCATCATCATCATCATCATCATCATCATCATCATCATCATCATCATCATCATCATCATCAACATCATCATCATCATCATCATCATCATCATCATCATCATCATCATCATCATCATCATCATCATCATCATCATCATCATCATCATCATCATCATCATCATCATCATCATCATCATCATCATCATCATCATCATCATCATCATCATCATCATCATCATCATCATCATCATCATCATCATCAACAACTTTATTATTATTAATATTATTATTATTACTAACATAATCGCTTATTTCTATTCTCTCTCATTCAGTCCATCAAACGAGCACGGATTCCACTGCACAGACGCTGCTACACAACTACTGTCCAACGCTTCTAACGTCAACGTAATAATGGGAGGTGGAGCAACCGAATTCTATGGTCCGTCAGACAGTACCATTTTCAACATGAAGGGGAAACGCTCTGATTCACGCAACCTCTTACATAAATGGAAGGCGATACAGACTAAAATGAATCGCAAGCATGTTCTCTTACATACGAACTCTGAGTTTAAACGAACCAACTGGTCTTCGGTTGACTACGTTTTGGGTAGGTTCTTTGATTCGTGAGTTTTGCTACACAGTAATAATGTGGATCGACAACTAGTAAACAACTCTTTGTCTTTTAATTATGCTTCAAAATGAAGCTGCCTAAAGCCTTATCGACTGTACGCGCAGTTGTTTTAGGCATCAATCAAAAGTTAAAATGGGTATCATTTTGTACGTCCCGTGAAAATTTGACTTCTGGCCACCATCACAAAGTTGTTATTTCCTAGAAATAATTTGTTGACTTTTTTCTAATGCTTTATGTCTAATGATTTTCATAAATGTGTTTTGTGATGATTCGATTATGTGGACAGGCAGTTCGAGTACGACTGAATGTTAAGACTGCAGATACGTGAATCCGACTGTGATTGAATGGTTTTGTGATACCAAAAATCGTAGTCTTTTCCTGTATCGTTCATCTGTGTTGAGCACACATTCGATTCAGCCGTTTTCGTACTAATTGGTTCGATGATCCCTTTCAAGTCTGTAAGATTTCCGAAGCTTTAACGTGGTTTGTTAAATGGTCCAATGTGTGTTGATTTACTGACACCACCGTTTATTTTACGGCATTCCATTCAGATATAATCTCACGTATTGATTTTCAGGTTTGTTTGCTCCGAGTCATTTGGCTTACCGACTGGAAAACCAAGACCAACCAAGTTTGGCAGAAATGACTGAAGCTGCTATCAAAGTACTTTCGCGCAATCCTAAAGGATTTCTTTTGTTAGTCGAAGGGGGCAGAATCGATCATGGGAATCACGAAAATCGAGCACAGTAAGAAACTCTTATTGTAATTGTAACTATTTCTACTATTAAAATTAACGACTCAGTCATAATGTTATTGGTATTTAATATGGAACTAAACTGATGTAGATTATTTCCTATTGTTGAACCTAAAGTTAGAGGTGGAATGTTGTTTATTAAATTTTCCGACCCATTCAGCTATACTTTTAAATGAGTTGGTGATACGATTACATTTTTGATTTCATACCGATTACAGATACGCGTTAACTGAAACGTTGGAGTTCGAAAAAGCCGTCGAGAAAGCATTGTCACTTGTTGATCAACAAGAAACGTTACTATTAGTAACAGCGGACCATTCTCATTCATACGGAGTTGTCGGCTATCCGACAAGGAATACAAGTGTGCTAGATGTGGATAATACTGCAAAAGTAAGTGGTAATCTAGTTTCATTTTTAAACGTTTGAGTAAACAATCAGTCATAAGTTAGCTAAGATATTGGAGAATAAAATCGAAGTTGCATGACGATTGGCAGTTTGGAATCTGTTTGAAAGGTTTGCCTGCAGTAAGGTCGAATATAAAAGCTCACGTATAACACTGGAACAATTTTTTGAGCAAAGAATGCATACAATGACTGTTCGTAAACTTAGTTTCCTTTTGCATGAGACGTTTGTTGAGGTCGTTCAGTTGATGTATATTCGTCATGATAGCCAGTTTCACAAAGGATTTGATGAGTATCGAAATGTTGTTAAGTGGATACGGATTATTCAGATATTCGGAAGGCAATCAAAAGATTGGCTACTTCCTTATCGTTAACATACTTTATTAACGAATTCGACAACGGATTCTCGCCATTTAACAAATGAAATATAATAACCTGAGTTCGTTATAATATAGCGATCTCACCTTCAGTTGAACCTGTAAACGTTTATGTTTATTATGCCCCTTGAATAGCTTACTTAATAGACAGTGTCGCTTGCGTCACTAATAACTATTTGTCATTGAAAAATTCCCATTATGTTAAAACACAATTATACGAACGAAGAATATTCTTTCCAATAATTTCTCATCTGGTTCTACTATTATAATAATATTAATACGCATTCAAATACTATGTGATATACAATAAAAGTAGACTGTGTGAGAAATATTGTAACATTCAGTGGAGCGAGATTTTCTAATATTGCCTTATTTTGTGTTACAGGGAGATGATAATAAATCATATCTCATATCCTCCTTTTTCAATGGACCAAGAGGTATATTAGGTGCACCTCGATCGGATCCGGCAACAGAAGATAGGTTCGCAAGCAACTATACAGCAGAATCACTGGTGAGACTCAGTACTTCTACACATAGTGCTGAGGATGTACCTATTTATGCTAGTGGACCTTTCAGTGATCTATTTCACTCTTCATTGGATAATACGTTTATTGCACATGCAACTATGTACTCGCTTTGTATCGGACCATACAAGAATCAGTCACACTGTGACAAAGGAAACAATGGATCTCGACTCAGAGGACTTTATCTGAATAACTTTTATTATTTACTATTTCTCAGTGTTATTTTGTACACTTTCATACATTAGTGTATATTTCGTGGTATCTTATTCAACTTATTAATTTCATGTTTATCATGTAAGTATATTTATTATTTGTAATATTTATCAGGTTAGATTAGACAAAAGTTCATCAAATGATTTATGGATATACAAACACTTATTTTTGAATTAATGCACTGGTCAAATACAACCAATTAACGTTACTTTGATTTTTGACATTCGTAATGATGAAATAATTAGACGAAATAATATTCAGAACAGAATGTCACTTGTAGAGATGTTGGTTAATATTAGAATTAGAATTATTCAGATTTATGTATTAACAAAGAATTCCAGAAATGGTGCAATTTAAGGCAGGTAGAACTAGATGAGCACAAATGAACGTATTATATTTAGACTTCAAAATTAGTGCTCAAATAAATACTTACAAATCATTAGTTTCTGCAAATGCCACAGTTAAGTAATTAGTGTTCATAATATATGAACCTGATTGTTAACGGACATGTTCGATGATTTATAGTAATTACATCAGTATTCGTATTCAGTGGAAGCATTCACTTTCGACCATACAGTGACTGGAGATCGCTTAGATAGAACAGAGTTTCCACCAAGGGAGAACTGCTGCATAAGTTGAAAAGTAAGGATACACAAATTGGGAATAAAAGGGAGTGAACAAGCGACGTGAATAATAATAATGTAAATTGTCTGATTTTTGGTAGGAGCGTCAATAGTATTGTTAGTAGAAATCGACATTTCACTTATTTGTGTGAGGGCTGTGATACTGCCCGGATGCCCAGACCGAAGCAGGTTGTCTTCTTAGGGGGCCACACCTGAACCCTTTGACCTAAAGGTCTAACCCACAAGGTAGTGGAGCATCGTGAGGAGATGCAGTCCCATGGTAGCCGGTGACCAACAATAGGTTCATACGCCATTCGTTCCATCAGGATACTGGAGCCCATGTGAACCATTGATTTGGTATCAGAGTTTTCCAACTCTCCTAGATGTACTCCCCGTGTCCACCGGCCCGGTTAAAACGCCAGACATTCTCTTTTCGTCCTCCTAATTTCGTAAACAACACCGGTGTCACGAGAAGGCAGTTAGTAGGGCTTCCTTGGCAGAGACTATATACGCGTGGCCATGTGAGAGCATTTCGAAAAGGCGGGTGGGCCCTCTACACTCTCGGCCGTACCAGGGCAAGTACAAAAGTTTATCTGAAAATTAGAAGCAATCAGTCTAAATATATTGTCTTACTAATAATTATAACAACTACACAACAAGTCTTCAACTTTTGGGTTTCTGAGCAAAATTTCCAAAATACCAAGCCAAACAATGTGACACCTAGACACTCGAGGTCAAGGTTATACACCAACAAGTTAGAAATTTGTGTGAAACAATTGCATCCAAAAGATAATGAAATTATTGATATTCGATATAACAGTTTTCAATAGATCGGATACTTTCAGTCCTTCTCCTGGTGTGTGCTACACTTCTTCTAACAGTCTTAACCATAAGAACATTGGCTTTTTCACAAACGAATAAATCAGCAGCACCAATCGACGGAAGAACGGGTATCACAAGCAGTCGATAACAATAAAATAGCATTCAAAAGCAAACTGGCTTCATGCCTTACAGTAGTATGCCTAGCCATCCGAGGAATCATCTACCATGTACGCCTGAAGAAGAAAGACTTTTTGCGTCTCTCTGTGGTGTTTCTAAGAACTAATGATTCCTTTGTATTTGATATCTCCTTGATTTTGAGCTCCAAACACAGTACGTTCGTTTGTGCTCATATAGTTCTGTTTGGTCTAAATTGCGATATTTCGGGGATTCCTATTTAGTATAATAATTCAACTACTTTTAATTATCACACTTTTACTAATATTCCTTTTATTGTCGTCAGTTGCATTCGTCTTATCAGATAATACTTTCCGTACCAGTTAGAAAGGTCATTTGTCTCTCTAGAAAATACTGGAATCATATCACCATCAAGTTACCTTATCTCATACTTTTCCATTTGTATATAAATCGTGACATTGAAACATAATACTTGGACCACTGCTTCCAGAAAACTCGAGCCAAATGGTTCACTTGTATCCATCCTTTAGAATGCCTGTTGCTTGATAAAGTACCCCTGTGCTATACTACGTTCTCTTTTAATAGAAACACGTTGACTGATTTTATGGCCTTGAGATCATTCGGTCACTCATTATTTTCTCGCAACCTATACTAAATTCACTCAACCTCTCAACAACCGAAACTTTACTTGAAACGTTTCAATCATTAGTGTAACGTCAACATGACCTAATTTGTTATCATACTTCAAAGCCAATTCTGTAATTGTTCGCCTCTATGGTTATACAGTTGGATGTTTTCTGGAATCCGGTCAAGAACTGTCTTGCAGATGACCACCAACACACAATAATACATCTATCATCAAAGCATGCGTTTACAAATTTGTCAGGACACAATGTACTTCTATCCTCAAACGAACAGTATATTCACTTTATCTTCACTATTCACAACACCAACATGATTTCAATGTAAAAACATTTAATGAAATCAATTTATCTTAATCGTCTTAATGAATATCATACACCTTTATTCGTAACGAAATTCGTGATAATTCATTGTTATAATTTCTATAGATTATCAGATCTACTTTTTGATTTTATCTTGGATCCTAAGTTTCGACATTGCTCTATACTTATTATTCTGAATGATCATTCTCTCTTCTCAAGTCATATTCCTTATGAGCAATGTTTATTTTAGTGTCGAATATACCAGTTTATGATTTTTTGGTACTCATCTTGATAAATTCGTTTCACTGTACTGGTGTGATGTGGTAACTTGAACTAGTGCACATATACGCCACGTTTCACGATACTAATGACTGACTTAGCATCAAGTGAAGATTGCAGTTATCTTGCATCGAACCCAGTGAATGCATGACATAAAGTTAAGAGTTGAACTACCACTAATATTTCCATGCAACGTAAACTTGTAGAGATATATCCTAATAAGTGAAAGTCGTGCATAACGACTTCAGGTGAAATGTAGGATGATAGTTAATATTTATTCACAGTACAGTAGTTTAACCTTCAAAGGACTATAGGGAAGTTTTACAGCATCATAAGTTTAGGTCTTTGAATTAACTTAATACACCCGAAATTTATCATTTTCACTGTTTATTTTCCTCAACTTTCATAGTTTGCTGAAATAACAAACCAGACTGATCGTGATAATGTTAAATTTAACTCAACTGTTCAGCGTTTAGAGGAAACATTATATAAACAAATTGCCGATGTTGAAAGACGTTTACAACAAAAGATCAACGAATTACAGAATGAAATTCAAGTATCTATTCAACAATGTCAAGATGAAAAACGATCCTTAGAATCACGTTTGCTTGATAGTATACACACGATAGCAGCAAACCTTGAAAATCGTATTGTAAGTGTTAACTATAGAGATTTTAAAATATTTTATTGAAAACAAATTCTATTATTTCGCTTAGTTTGGTAAAATTCTATGACATAGAATAACAATTAATCACCAATCAACATGTACAGACTGATGTACAATCTATGGATTGAGTTAGAGCAATAATTATTGAATATTTAGATAAGTAAATACGTCACATGTTTCCATGCTCGGCTTGATACAGTTTAATGGTGAATATTATCACTCATTTGATTGTATTAGGAACTAATCAGTTGAGTGGTGTAACTCTTGAAATAAACAATCCAGCTATCTAGCTTTTAAGTGTAATTTAAGTGTAATCTACTGCAGATTACACTTAATTGAATAACCATAAAATGCTTTCTACAATGGTTATTTTATTGTAATAAAATAAAAATTAAACAATATATACCTTTCTATTTGTATAATGGAAAATAATTTCTCAAATGAAATCATTGCTAAGTAATGAAAGTGCTTATTACATATACAGTTGCATTCAACCATTCAATTGTCTATGGTAAAAAGTGTCATAGTTACAGTGGAATCTTTATTGAACTACATGAAATAAATTATAATATAAAAATGAATATTGTTTGAATCTTTCCATCTTTCCATCTCTGCATATCCATATGCTGTCTCTAATTTTAACTCATATGAAAATTAAATACTTTTCATCAAGCACACGATGCCGATACGTATAAGAGTGAATTCGACAAACCTTTCAAACGGATACAAACTACCAATCATAATGCAACTTCGATATTATTCTTCATTATGTTAACTAAATTGTGACTGATTGTTTACTCAAATGCTTAAAAATGAAACTAGATTACCACTTACTTTTGCAGTATTATCCACATCTAGTTTCAGTTAACGCGTATCTGTAATCGGTATGAAATCAAAAATGTAATCGTATCACCAACTCATTTAAAAGTATAGCTGAATGGGTCGGAAAATTTAATAAACAACATTCCACCTCTAACTTTAGGTTCAACAATAGGAAATAATCTACATCAGTTTAGTTCCATATTAAATACCAATAACATTATGACTGAGTCGTTAATTTTAATAGTAGAAATAGTTACAATTACAATAAGAGTTTCTTACTGTGCTCGATTTTCGTGATTCCCATGATCGATTCTGCCCCCTTCGACTAACAAAAGAAATCCTTTAGGATTGCGCGAAAGTACTTTGATAGCAGCTTCAGTCATTTCTGCCAAACTTGGTTGGTCTTGGTTTTCCAGTCGGTAAGCCAAATGACTCGGAGCAAACAAACCTGAAAATCAATACGTGAGATTATATCTGAATGGAATGCCGTAAAATAAACGGTGGTGTCAGTAAATCAACACACATTGGACCATTTAACAAACCACGTTAAAGCTTCGGAAATCTTACAGACTTGAAAGGGATCATCGAACCAATTAGTACGAAAACGGCTGAATCGAATGTGTGCTCAACACAGATGAACGATACAGGAAAAGACTACGATTTTTGGTATCACAAAACCATTCAATTACAGTCGAATTCGGTACTGTTGACAAACCTTTCAAACAGATTCCAAACTGCCAATCGTCATGCAACTTCGATTTTATTCTCCAATATCTTAGCTAACTTATGACTGATTGTTTACTCAAACGTTTAAAAATGAAACTAGATTACCACTTACTTTTGCAGTATTATCCACATCTAGTTTCAGTTAACGCGTATCTGTAATCGGTATGAAATCAAAAATGTAATCGTATCACCAACTCATTTAAAAGTATAGCTGAATGGGTCGGAAAATTTAATAAACAACATTCCACCTCTAACTTTAGGTTCAACAATAGGAAATAATCTACATCAGTTTAGTTCCATATTAAATACCAATAACATTATGACTGAGTCGTTAATTTTAATAGTAGAAATAGTTACAATTACAATAAGAGTTTCTTACTGTGCTCGATTTTCGTGATTCCCATGATCGATTCTGCCCCCTTCGACTAACAAAAGAAATCCTTTAGGATTGCGCGAAAGTACTTTGATAGCAGCTTCAGTCATTTCTGCCAAACTTGGTTGGTCTTGGTTTTCCAGTCGGTAAGCCAAATGACTCGGAGCAAACAAACCTGAAAATCAATACGTGAGATTATATCTGAATGGAATGCCGTAAAATAAACGGTGGTGTCAGTAAATCAACACACATTGGACCATTTAACAAACCACGTTAAAGCTTCGGAAATCTTACAGACTTGAAAGGGATCATCGAACCAATTAGTACGAAAACGGCTGAATCGAATGTGTGCTCAACACAGATGAACGATACAGGAAAAGACTACGATTTTTGGTATCACAAAACCATTCAATCACAGTCGGATTCACGTATCTGCAGTCTTAACATTCAGTCGTACTCGAACTGCCTGTCCACATAATCGAATCATCACAAAACACATTTATGAAAATCATTAGACATAAAGCATTAGAAAAAAGTCAACAAATTATTTCTAGGAAATAACAACTTTGTGATGGTGGCCAGAAGTCAAATTTTCACGGGACGTACAAAATGATACCCATTTTAACTTTTGATTGATGCCTAAAACAACTGCGCGTACAGTCGATAAGGCTTTAGGCAGCTTCATTTTGAAGCATAATTAAAAGACAAAGAGTTGTTTACTAGTTGTCGATCCACATTATTACTGTGTAGCAAAACTCACGAATCAAAGAACCTACCCAAAACGTAGTCAACCGAAGACCAGTTGGTTCGTTTAAACTCAGAGTTCGTATGTAAGAGAACATGCTTGCGATTCATTTTAGTCTGTATCGCCTTCCATTTATGTAAGAGGTTGCGTGAATCAGAGCGTTTCCCCTTCATGTTGAAAATGGTACTGTCTGACGGACCATAGAATTCGGTTGCTCCACCTCCCATTATTACGTTGACGTTAGAAGCGTTGGACAGTAGTTGTGTAGCAGCGTCTGTGCAGTGGAATCCGTGCTCGTTTGATGGACTGAATGAGAGAGAATAGAAATAAGCGATTATGTTAGTAATAATAATAATAATTATAATAATGATGGTGTTGATGATGATGATGATGATGATGATGATGATGATGATGATGATGATGATGATGATGATGATGATGATGATGATGATGATGATGATGATGATGATGATGATGATGATGATGTTGATGATGATGATGATGATGATGATGATGATGATGATGATGATGATGATGATGATGATGATGATGATGATGATGATGATGATGATGATGATGATGATGATGATGATGATGATGATGATGATGATGATGATGATGATGATGATGATGATGATGATGATGATGATGATGATGATGATGATGATGATGATGATGATGATGATGATGATGATGATGATGATGATGATGATGATGATGATGATGATGATGATGATGATGATGATGATGATGATGATGATGATGATGATGATGATGATGATGATGATGATGATGATGATGATGATGATGATGATGATGATGATGATGATGATGATGATGATGATGATGATGATGATGATGATGATGATGATGATGATGATGATGATGATGATGATGATGATGATGATGATGATGATGATGATGATGATGATGATGATGATGATGATGATGATGATGATGATGATGATGATGATGATGATGATGATGATGATGATGATGATGATGATGATGATGATGATGATGATGATGATGATGATGATGATGATGATGATGATGATGATGATGATGATGATGATGATGATGATGATGATGATGTTGATGATGATGATGATGATGATGATGATGATGATGATGATGATGATGATGATGATGATGATGATGATGATGATGATGATGATGATGATGATGATGATGATGATGATGATGATGATGATGATGATGATGATGATGATGATGATGATGATGATGATGATGATGATGATGATGATGTTGATGATGATGATGATGATGATGATGATGATGATGATGATGATGATGATGATGATGATGATGATGATGATGATGATGATGATGATGATGATGATGATGATGATGATGATGATGATGATGATGATGATGATGATGATGATGATGATGTTGATGATGATGATGATGATGATGATGATGATGATGATGATGATGATGATGATGATGATGATGATGATGATGATGATGATGATGATGATGATGATGATGATGATGATGATGATGATGATGATGATGATGATGATGATGATGATGATGATGATGATGATGATGATGATGATGATGATGATGATGATGATGATGATGATGATGATGATGATGATGATGATGATGATGATGATGATGATGATGATGATGATGATGATGATGATGATGATGATGATGATGATGATGATGATGATGATGATGATGATGATGATGATGATGATGATGATGATGATGAAACCAGTCATTTGTGATGACAATGAAAATTCGAAGATGGCTATTCTATGGCAGGTATTCAGAAGGTATCAATTTTTAAATGAATCAAACTGCTATTAACTTTTTCGTGTCAAAATTCTGTTGACCACTACACTCATTTTACTACAAAGGCTACTATAAATAACTGTGCATGTCTGTCGACATAAGCAGCATACACCAAAACTACAGATTGTATTTGATCTAATTTTGAGTCACACCATCAAACTTTAGTATTGGACGATGAGAAGTTAGCTACCTCAAAGGTGTAGATAAGGCATATTTTCACTCCTGATTACTGCGTAACCTGGTGTACTAATCAAACTAGATCTACATGAGTTTTCACATTTTGTATAAACCAGAAGCGGTTGTAATTTCTATTCAAACAGTAGGTTGAATTGATAAATTAATATGGGTAAGCTGTTATATATATTCATCAGTAAGTTGGCAATCGATTCATTACAACTTGTTTTATGCTCATATCGAGCTGTGTTTGTATGCCAATGCAATTCGTGAACACCGAATATTTTATTGTGAATATCACTGGGTGATTTACTTATCCTGAATATCCTGGAATCAATTGTAACGTATATATAAGACAACCCATTTTGAAATTCTGTATATAGTTAAATAAACAAGTAAATTTATATAGATGAATAACGAATTAATGGTGTTTAATTCATTTAGATATCACGTGGGAGGAGGTGGCCGACCAAATGAATGATAAAGTAATCTACGTATATTCCCTTGACATTTTTGAGGCGGACTTATTATAAACTCATTTGTAAAACCCAAGTTCATGTTCACTGTCTTGAACCAAACATTTTCATATAGAGATGATAATGGTGCTATCATTTTATCGGCTGGAATGGCGAACGGTAGTTTCAATCCTATGTATTCATGACTGTGGATAGCCCAAATAAGAAAGTAATGATTGGGAAGTTTATCCTATTTAGGATCAGAGTAATCTGACATAAAGTAACAATAAAGCACTTTAAGGGATAAAGGCTTTATAGCTTACGGAAGAACATGAAATTTCACTTCAAATACATAATTCCTTTTGAGGGATATGAAACACATCATTTATCGGTACAAACGTAAATATATAGATCCCGTGTACTACACGATCACATTTTAAGGAATACGAAATCTCACCAATTCTATACATTTCATTCACTGTGTATTGCAAAAAGCCGGGTTCTAACATTAATTCCTCTAGGCTTGTAGTACTTAGGCAAAACACTAACTGTAAACGGAGTTCATTGCAATAAAAACCTGCACACGTAATCTATGTACTTTATCACATTAAAACTAAACATAAACGTAAAGTCTAAGATATTCCAAACTTACGCTTTCGACTCCCAATCTCGATGTAACATATTTGCATACGCTGCTGCGGGTGTTGCATGAGTAACTCTCGCAGTTGTAACTATTCCAGTGGAAAATCCTGCTTTGGAGGCATACATGATAGAAGATTTCGCCCTTTCTAATTCTTTCAATTCAGTACATTTACAGCACTTCACTGTTCCCGTGATACCAACGGTTTTATGAGGGCTTTTCACACCTTAAAATAATTTAAAATCAGCATAAGATGCAGCAAAAATTACTCATCAATTGGAACGACAGGAAACTAAATTTCTAAGTGAGCGAATTTGTATATATCTCGTCACAATAAATTTATTCATCTTTGACAGTATAGTGATCAGCTCACAACGTAGCATATTATACTTCCAACTCAAGTAAAATCAACATTTCTTTGATGTATATCAGTGAACTATGAAAACTGTATTTGATACTCGACCTTCCGAAATCCTAATATGTACACTGCAAAACATGTTCTTTGTTTGAAATGGACTTTGGTTCGATTCTTCGACCGATTAAAATATATTATTAAGAGTATTTAATATTTCGAAAGCTTTAGTCTAGTATATTTTCCATAATTGACAAATATCAAGTGGGAAACATTGTAAAAGAAGTATCTCCATCCACTGGTTAGTTGCCCTAATTTAGCTGATGAATTCACGATCAAGTTCAAAGCTTTTTATCGTAATAGAGTAGACCAAGAAGAGGAGGCGAGTTTTTATCTCCACTGCATTTGGTTTTATCCAGATGATAAAATTATGAGAAACTCTGATCAACAGAAGTAGTTGATGGAGTGCGAACTTCATTAGTATAGATGGGATAATTAAATACTGATCAGTAACATCAAAATCCATCTGTACCACACCTATATGGATGAGAATGAAATCTTTCAAGTAAGACTAATTATACATTTATTTATTCTCCACATTCCGCCTACATTGTACAGAAGAATTGCAGAAACAATTAAGTAAACGAGGCTGTCTACAGAATAGTAACTCGCAAACAAATTTTCAAGTGTATTTAGTTTCACTAGCTTCAAATATACACATCGTTCTAGGATCATCGGAACGCTCCGACTTTCATCACACAGGACATGTATAGTTGCTTGGTTATTAGTGTATTAAAATATGACAATGTAAATTTACTAAGGCATGAAGTAGTTGTTTCATCAGAAATATTAGTTCACTTTACTACTTACCTGACATAAAGGCAGTCGCCGCAGAACCTGAATCTGTTGTCAGTCTATCTGAGTTGAATGTACGGACAAGTGATGCAACAGGCCAGTTCTCCCATACTAGTTGTACATCACCACCTAAAAGATCCATCTTCTCCGCTTTCAAATATCTTGCTCCAGTAACAGTGCTCAGGCTCATACCATCACCAATAAATAAGATGACATTTTTTGATCGTTTGAGTAATAAGTGAGATGATGATTGTTCAAATTTATTAAATCTCTCATCTGCTAACCTCTTCCAAGTTCCAGGATCTGTGACATTCAATGATGACGATTTGCACTCAATTTTGTACAGGGATAGTATGACTGCTATGAAAAATAGTAAGGGTTTTGGAGCTGTCGATAAGACATTTGGAAGCATATTTTGTCTTACGAGGTTTACAACTTTTGTCGTTTGATTTTGTTCAATTAAATACTGCCTTACAAACCGAAACTTTCTAAATTTTGTCATGCACTCACTTCTCATTGGTTTGTTTTTGGATTACCTAACAAGTATATGTAAATTGTCGATTTCAACCATTCACATGGCTCAAATTGCATCCATTATTCTAAATTTTAATGGGTTGGTTTAATTGTTGTTGTACTAAACACACTATGTTAAATTGTTGATTATCAGTAATATTTTTCTTAGTCTACGTATCAGAGCTAAGTAAATATAGTGTTTATATGAATCAATGATTTCTTTTTATTGATGACTGTTTTGATTTTGAATTTCAAATACAGTACATTCGTTCGTGCTCATCTAATACTTCTTGATTAAATTTCGTTATTCCAGGGATTACTAGTTCATACCATAAATCAAATACTTCTGAATATCACATTGGCGTAGCGATAGAGCCTGTGATGGAATGGTTGAATGTACATTCAGATTTTAATGCTTTTGTGGATTACATGGAGATGTACGCAATCTGGTCTATGAGCAAGGAAGATGACGAAGATTTTATTATTGTTGCCCATTTCCTTACATTCATCGGTGAAGAAGCATACAGCCTTATAAAGACTTTGGCATTTCCAGACAATCCGATTTCACTCTGAAGATGCAACGGATATTCTAGTTTTACAACTAGATACCAGTAGCACCTTCTAAATTCGGTTGTTACCAGTCAGATAGAAAATCAGAAGTCAAACGAGAAGAGGCAGGAAAGATATATTTGATTCGTTACCAATATATCGAGGACCTTTTCTATGAGCTGGCTAATGAAACGTAGGAGCTGTGTCCCACGCAGTATTGAAACGTGATCTGGTGCGGATGCATGACCGAAAGCCTTCAGCTAAACAAGTCCACTTAAACAACGTGGTCAGCATCCAATGTCGAACACTTAATGAGCTATTGATTTTGGGGAATTATTTACAGCTACAGATCACTCCCCCCCTAGTGAGGTAGTGATGCCCCTAAGACGTGACCAGCCAGAAGTTTAAACCCAACGAATTTGTCGTTGGTAAACACTCTTCTGATAGCTTGCTTCGTTTAGCAGCGTCTGGTCGTCTTTCCTTAAACTATGGGACCAAAATGTACAACGTAGCAATAAAGAAATATAGTACAATGAAAATTTCTGTTCCTTGCGAAACTTCGTCGTTCTTTTCCAGCCGTCCTGGAAAAGAGGAAAAATAAAACGTGTGAGTGCATGTCAAAAATACACTCGTACTTGCGTAAGGACACAAGATGAGCGGAAAAAAATAAACTGATACACTTACAAACAGCGTAAAAGCGATCGGAAAAAAGGTTTTCTTTTGGGTTTTTTTTCAATATATAAATATATATATATATACGCTCAAAAAAATGTTGTTTTTTTTTGTTTTTTTTTACATAAATAAAAAAATGAGCATATTAAAAAAAATTTATAATAAACTTTGAAAGGGTAATTCAAGATAAAGCTTATGTCCTACGTGCAATATTCGTTAAGATGTTCTGGAAATCTTACTCGTCTTCCAGAACGCGTTGTTTTAGGTTTTTCTATCGACGTTGACGAAGTATCAAGTTGTGTGTCGGTTGTCGTGTAGGGTACTACGAGTGTAGTAGCTGTGTCGTTTGCTTGTACCGAAGGAAAATCGACGTAGCTAGGGTTTCCTTCTAGGTACGCAGCTTTGAGTCGATCGATACTGATGCTATCTTTCGTACCGTTCTTATCAACTACATAGTACTTAGGTTCGCGTTGAAGAACTTTGAAGGGTCCTTCGTATGCTGATTCGAGGGGTCGTCGATGTGAGTCTCGACGAACGAAGACGTGTGTACTATGTCGTAATTCGGGTTGAACGAAAACATCAGTTGATTGAGGTCGAGTGTGAGCAGGTTTAACTGAACGCATAGCGTTTGTAAGCCTACTCGTGTAAGAGTTTAGATCCATTTTCAATGAAGAAGCTGAAGGATCCACGAATTCTCCTGGGAGTCGGAGTGTCGTTCCGTAAACGAGTTGAGATGCCGTGTATCCAATGTCAGCTTTCACTGCATTGCGGATACCTAGCAAGACGAGTGGAAGAGCGTCTGTCCACTGTGAAACGTTTGAAGCTGATAATGAGGCTTTTAGTTGTCGATGAAAACGTTCTACCAACCCGTTTGCTTGTGGGTGGTAGGCGGTCGTTCGGAAGCGCGTGATTCCTAAAAGTGTGGTCAGACAACGGAACAGTCCAGATTCGAACTGGCGTCCGCGGTCTGTAGTGATGGTTGAAGGGCAGCCGAAATTTGCTACCCATCGTTCGACGAAAGTGCGAGCCACTGTTTCAGCAGTAATGTCCTTAATCGGTACTGCTTCTGGCCATCGAGTAAAACGGTCTACGCATGTTAGGAGATATGAGTATCCGTTCGAGTCGGGTAAGGGTCCTACCAAATCTAGATGGACGTGGTCGAAACGAGCGTCAGGGGTTTTGAAAGAGCCTAAGGGACATTTGTTGTGTCTTACGACCTTAGATTTCTGACAGCTTACACAGGAGCGTGCACACTCCCTCACGTCTTTATTCATGCCAGGCCAACAAAAGCGTTCGGCTATAAGTTTGACAGTTGCACGAGCACCTGGATGAGAAAGATTGTGCAACATATTGAAGACGTTGCGGCGATAGTGTTTTGGTACAATTGGACGATCCCTACCTGTAGATGTGTCACAGAGTAAGGTTTCCTTACCTGTTCCCATCTGCTTAATACTTAGTTTAAGAGTTGTCGAGGATAACTCATGCTGAAGATCAATGTCTTCTTTTTGAAGCTGAGCGAGTTTAAGAAGGTCGATTCCTTGGAAACTGTTCAAGGAATTTATTCGAGACAAGGCGTCTGCGACTACATTGTTAGCTCCAGAAATGTGTTGTATGTCTGAATTATGTATGTCTGGGAATTATTTACAGCTACAACTCCTTTACGTTATTTTTCATTCTATGGTGTGATGCGGTCTCGTTTGCTTGTATATAAACCAATTATGTCTAAAATGTATAAACCATGCAGTGGAAGATGAGATGGTGTTCTGGATTCAATTGGCAGGGAAAGGGAAGAGGAATCAATAATGACTCAGAGTCGACTATAGGCTGCTCGTACTTGTTATTGCGTCATTAGTTTGGCACGGGACCGAGGTCAAATAAGTCGGTATTATATTGGCGATTTAGTCACGGGATATTTGAAGGGCCAAAGGACATAACAGATTTTTCTGTCTTTCAAAAATCTAGTCAGTTCTACACTAGCCACTGAATTCGAAGATATGAAGGGATTAGTAAATGGATAGCTCCTGACACAAATGCGAAACATTTTAGTGAAAAGAAGCAAATACGAAATTGTTTAGAGGCTGTGTTTTATGCCTAAATACATGAGAAGAAACCATGGACACAATTAAACGCAACCGTTTTATTGGCCAATCACGTTACTACAACACCGGGAAGACTGTTCTGGTTAGTGTTGTTTGTTTTTAAATAATTTAATCTATTTCAGATAACATAAAAGCTAAACAATATACAGAGTTTTTCATAAATTAAAAGAACCCTCGACTGGATTATAAAAGATCCACAAATATCCAGATTTCCATTCAAACAATGCTGTGCTGGTTGTTCGTATGAAACATCAATAACCATTTTTAATTATGCATAATACTAAAATTTAGACTTGTAGTTATCGCATGAATTAGTGTGCTGTTTGTATGAACTGGTAATGGTTTTTTAATTGGTTACACACTTTACTCATAACTCTAAAATAATACATTCACGTGCCTGTACTAATTTTTCCTCTCTTCAAGAGTTGTTCCATTTGTAACTACAAAAGTATGCACTGGATAGATTCGGGAAATTCTACAACATTAAACATATTCAGTACTACAACAAATTCTAATCACAAATTTCCAAACATAATAGTTCTTTATAGCCATCCAAAATTACATAATAAGTGTCTGAGAAACTAACTGAAAACTTGTTTCTCAATAAAATGTTATGGATGAGTAGTAAGTATTGTAAATCAAATATAACTAATCTGTGAAATTAAAAGCAACAAGCTATATCTCAAGTCTGTAACATTTCTTTAACTGATGTAAATCATTGAAGTGAACTTAGCACGAACATCATAGTTGGTAATAGCCAAATATTATCATCCACTTCTTCTACTGTCTACATAATATTATCTACCCCCAACCACAGAACTTTGAAAATCTCTTGTCATCTGAATAGCTAAACCTAAAAAGCAACACTTCTACTCACGTTTGTTTAACTAAGAACTGATTTGGAGTAAATGGCATGTCAGTTAGTTGTATCTTAATGTTTGTTAATGAATACTACATTATTTAACCTATATTTCGTTTGAAATATGGTACTTTACAAGTATTTCGCATACGACTTTAATTCCAAGTAAAGAAAAAAAAAAGAAAAACTACCTACAATAAACTAACAAATATGGTAAACAAATACTTTCACAGAAATTAGTTATATGAAGGATAGTTATCATTTCAGTTACATACACAAATAGTCAATAACAGTATTGATATAATAAAACTTTCCGAAAGATACAACATAATTATAAATGTGACTCAAAAATTCAGCCTTTATTAATTTTTTGGGTAAGACAGAATCAAATAATTCACTATACTGTTCAATTTCTGAATAATAGTTAATTAGCATTTCAATCGAGAATGCTACAATCAGCAAGAATTCTTTCAGTTAAATTAGTTATGTTCGATTTTATTAAGAGTTTGGAACAAAGTTACAGCAGGATCGCTACTGGCTTCTATTATGAACGATATCTGATAATCTCTCGAGCCACTGTGTTGCACAATCCCTCGAACCCCGACCGCGGAGTCGAGAAAGACCAATAGAAGCCAGTCCTGTACAGCTTTCTTCCATACCACGAAACCTTGTCATACACTTACCACTTCTCCGCTTTTTTCAACCGGTCACAGCTTCAGC